TAAAATTATTATTGTAATAAAAAATATATATAATTAATTACGCGGAAGAAAAAAATAAAAATGATTAAATGAATACAAATTTTTCGAGCGAGGGAAATTAATTTATGGAATTTTTTTACAGAGAAAAACGCATATCTGAAAATATACGTCACGCCTTTAAAAATTATAATGTATATATATAACTTTATACTTACTTTCTTTTTTCTGGCAGGTCTTCCGCGTTTTTCCGGTGGTCTTTCGGCTCCTTCGGGCAAAGGATATTTTCTAGGTCTTCCAGGACCTTTTTTGATTGGTTTAAAGTCCGGTTCTTTCTTAATTTCCATTGTCATGGATTGGATATATTCCCTATGTCTCGCCTTCGACCACTTGGCTGCGTTTCGATAACTGGTATTTCCTTTATAGTCAACTTTGATTACGCGATCTTCAACAATCAACTTATCCAGTTCGGTTTGGACGATTGATGAATTTAAACCGTAATTCCGTTGTAACATGTGACATATCCTATCGAGATCTGGACGAGCTTTTCTCTTTCTTAACTGGTCGATAGTGTTTAGTATTAAATGACCGACCTCATTCTCCATAATCCAATCGACACTAAGCAGATTTATAGACGACTGACGAAACGCGCGAACTGAACAAAAAAAAAGTCCGTGGCTGCGCCGACACACGGCACCACCATCGACTAACTACGAGAAATCGGCCGCTACTTTCCACTTTACGCTGTCCCAACTGCTTTGAGCATGCGTAATGCTTTGCGAGGAACTGTGGGATTGGTGTAGAGACGCCTTCGTCATCCAAACTATACTCGTAATTGAGAAACTCACACTTTATACGTATTTTTTTTTCTTATTAATTATTANCATAATTTTAAATAAATATTGATTTTAGATGAGAAATTCTAATACTAATCCTGATGTTTCTTAAATTTTTATTTTAAATCTTTTAAAAAAAACACGCAATTAAATACTTTAATAGCCAAATAACTACTGTTAAATTTAAAAATAAACAAAATCAATAGAACAGTCTTGTAAAATGCTATCAGATAAAGCAATCACCATACAAAGAAACCATCTTTATGTAGGCCATATGTTAAAATTCCGGTTAGGCCAACAAAGAAATAATTTTATCTGCGAATTTTTCAATAATTTAAAATCAAGCTATTCGTTGTTCAATGTATAAAAAATTTATAAATATTTGTACTCTATCTTGATATTCAAACCAACCATTTCCAAGTTGTAAAGTGTAGTTGAATCTCTTTTTCAAAATTTATTTCTCTTTCTTCTAACAATGAGAACAATTTTAAACATTTCAAGGAAGTCTGATTTACTTTTTCGATTTTATGTGATCTTCAAATTGCACTTCCATTTATATTCTGTCCGTTAAAGCTTTAACCGAGATAAGATTCTATTGTTATCATATTTTCAAACGGGTTTAAGAAAGAGTAATTTTTAATCCGTTTAGAGAATGCCCGCAAGATATTGCAGTTCTAAGAACAAAGTACAGTAGTCTAAACAATATAAACAGCTAATATCAGCGTGAGTATTTACTAAATAGATAATAGCAAAAATCTTAGTCATTTATTTATTAAAACCCAGTCATTTGTTCTACGTTTCATTTATATATACGAGAACACAAGTTAAAAAATTGTTAATAATTAATATTTTGGATTTTTGTAAATATTTTAAAGAAAAAAATTTTAAATATCGATTACATCAAAATCGGCCAATTTTCATTTAGTATAGTATAATCTAATTTGGTAATCAGTTATAAAATATACAGATATAAAAAGTTAAAATTAATACTAAAACTAAAACTATAAGTATAAAAGTAATTCGATACAAACAGGAATTATTTTAAATTTTTATAAATTTTAATTTTTGGTGAATCAAAACCATAAAAAAAGTTAGTAATTCGATAATCTCTACCATTTGTGTAGCTTTTCTAGTTATCTTTATAATTTAATTATAAACCTCTCTTAAGCTATTACATTAATTGGTTCTTCGAATCTATAATTGTTCAACAGCTTCTTTACACATTTATATTTAACAATTATATTTTTTTATTATTTTTTTATATTTATCAATTTGTAGAGTTTATATTTATCACAAATTATATACTTAACATAGCATTACGCATTTTTTTTATATGCTACATTTCTTATAAACAACTGTTTTTGAAATGAACAGATTACAAAATTAAACTAGAGAAATTACAATAGGAATGTTCATCCCCAAAGGTACGCTTCAAGTAAAGATCTACCACGTAAAATAAAAGAGCACTTAGGTTAGAAATAAGTTTAAAACAAAAAGGTCCATTTAGTATCCATTTAGTACGGATTTTCTAAGAATTCTAATCGTTTTCGCCACTAATTGATAACAATAGTCGAAGTTTGAGTATAATGGATTATTTTAGACTAATTTCATGTAGTGTTTTAGGACCGACTGATTATGATAATAATAACTGATTGTTAACATTTTCCGTGATAATAATAACTTAATTCCACTGTATAATTTTAAATAATTAAATAGTAGTAAATAACCACATGAGCCTGTTGGCCTTACTGTTATAATTACCAAACATCAATTATAACAAGGCCAGTATGTGGTTATTTACTACTATTTAATAGATTAACAGGCTAGAAGCTTAAATAAGATTATAATTTTTTAGTTATTTTTTGATTTTTTTAAAAATTTTGTTATAATAAATTTTAAGTCACTCCGATAAATTTATAATATTGTAAACGAATCATATAAATAAGTTTAAATCGATTTACAGCATTTGAGCTAAGTTGAATTCATACGCTTTCCATAGACTACGAAACAGATTTGAATGATTAATAAAACAATAAATGGTAAAGTTTATTATTGCTGAATTGAGTAGACTAATATATAGACGAAAATAGAATTTCTTTTACCTTCGTTCTGACGTGTTTAAGATAAATACAAAGTTTTCTTCAGAAACCTGAAATTTATGCTGTGCTTTTTCTTTCTATATATTGATTTCAGAGATTATTGCCAAATAAAAATTTAATATTTTTATCGATTTAAGGATATTTTATCTTTTTTTTTTTTAATCATAGAAACAGGAGCACTTCCTGAAGATTTTCAATAAAAGTTCGTTGTCTGTAGACATTGTTTTTGCTTATCATTTTCCGAGTGAATGATGTCATCGGATCACTTCAATTGTTCTTTATTAGGAAGAATGTGCAACCAAATCGGAAAAGTTGAACATTGCTCAACTTGACCTTCTTTATTCACGTCCTTGCAAAAATGCTTTTCCGTTGAAGAATTTTTTCGATTCTTTTCTAAGAAAATTTTCGCTTTATTCTTAATCAGAAATTTAGTATTTAATAACATTATAAACAGCTAAAGACTTTGAATAATAAGCAATACATTTTTTTTATAATATCAATTAACGAAATCATTTTACTCGATTCAAATGTATTTTAGAATTACATTTACTATTTATATCTTGGTAAACGTTATCCATTTTTGATTGAAATGATAATTTTATATGAAAATATATCATAATTACAGAGTCTATATTATGTTTTAATCTTTTAAAATATAATTTATAGATTTTATATAAATGATAACATTCAAAGATTTTCAATAGAATATTTAGAAAGCCGGTGACCTTAAGAGAACAACATTTAGGGATCTTATAACACATGGGTACAGTGGCTAGAAAATATAGTGTCGAAAGCGCTTATATTCCTCCATTATAACCGTTCGGTCCATACATCGAGGTTAGTGACGTCACAGACAAGGTGGCGCTGATGTCAATTGTAGTGCTACTTTCGCTTTGGCTACGTGATATCCTTTCTTACAAGAACATCGAAAGCGATTAAATTTGTGCTTGTAAAGTGAATAAATCCTTAGGAAATGGCTGAACAGAAACTTTACTGACTTGTGTATTTATAGATATTACTCTACTGTAATTTTTAATTCTTTTATTTTTGTCGAAAAGGGTGAGAAATCTACATGCATATTGTGGTGGTACACCAATATATTTTTGTTATATTTTTATATATATGTATATATATAATTTTCTATCTTTCCTTCTTTCTTTGTTCTGTGTTCCTTTGTCCAGACTTTCTGGAACTTTTGTCCAGGTGTGGGTGGTCGGTGACCTAATTAGGAGACAAAGGATTAGAAATAGCCCAGAGGTCAAGTGAGAAACTAGAGAGTCACTTCTGGCTTCGGACCTAGAAGAGGGAAGATCGTCAGAGAGAGGTCTCCAGGTTGGTGTTGCTTCGGCTGAAAGAGGCACGAAGAGCACGTAAGGAAGAAGTAGCGTTGATAAGGACATTGGCCAGCCAAAAGATAAAAGACATTTTTATTTGATTATCGCATGCAATCCGTCCCGAAAAGGAAAGTTCCCAAGACGAAGTCATCCAGCAGCCGCCACCCCAATCGTCAACTCGGGTACCCGTTCCATCCTAAAGATATATTTCCGTTTCTCTCTTCTAATCTAACTTTCTTTTCCTTTTTCCTTTTCTTTTTAGATATAAGTAGGTTTAAGTTAGAAGTTAAGTATCTCTTTGTATCGCGAAAGTCTTGCTCGACTGTGAATAAAAAAAAAGGTGTTTGTTCGTTTGCTTGATGTAAGGACTCAGGAGGTCAGAATCGACAAGAACCTTTCCTGTATATGTTCACAGAAAATAATAAAGCACGTCTTATTTGTTTTATATACCCGTTTCTTTGTGAAATCAACCCTCACCACGTGCTTATTACCACAATATTAATCTGTAAATTTTTTAACAGAGATTTTTCAAATATAAAGTGTATATGCATGGGTACTTGGCAGTAGACTAATAATCGTTTATTTGTACATACTTAATTTTGTAATTTTATATTGGGACAATAAAGTAACATTCTGCCTTTATATTTTATATACTGTGTAGAATTTAATTGTAATTTTAATATTGCTTTATACTATGTCACATAATACTGTGAACAGTATACAGTATTATGTAACTGATGGCATTTGCTTAATAAATTCTATTTTAGGCCCTCACAGTGGAAGAGGTTCACAAAGCCATATAAAACTTACATTTTATTATTAAAAATATGATAAATTCTGTATTTTTTTAGTAAATATGAATAAACCTTGTTGTTAATAAGGTAATAACAAGAGTAGATTACTCTTGTACTCTAAATAATACTTGTTTGTACAGCACTCAACAGCTGTAATGTAAAAATAGACAATACAGTGTAGGCTATTTGATTTAATAAGAATCTTAATTAGCTTTAATAAAATGAATTCCTTCATAAATGTTAATAAAGTAATACTATATAATAATTGATTGCTAGTGATATGATTTATTATCGATCTAAATTCTTTTACTTGGCTACAGCACATTTACTATGCTTAAAAATCCCACTTAAAACCAATATAAACATAGGAAGATACAGCCAGTGTAGCACAACGATTGACAGCAGCGCCTCTTGCGGCAACCTCCAATATAGGGACAGAAAATAAGCTCGATTTCGACACTATATTTTCTAGCCACTGTACACATGGGTTCCCAACCTATGGGTCGCGACGGGCTTTCTGTGGGGTCGCCAACTTATACAGTAAACTAAAAAAAAATATTCACTATAATGCAATTTTTATTTTTAATGGTGTCTTGAAGTTTGAATAATTTCATATATTTTTTTAAAATTAAAATAAGTATAATCTAGGTACGCTATTCTTTCACAGTTGGTTGAAACATGTGTCGAGAGTTCTCGAGAGGAATAAATCAGGCCTAAATGTTGAGAATGA